CCCCAAAACCCCAAAACCCCAAAACCCCAAAACCCCAAAACCCCACGCTGGTTAGAGTATATTGATATAAGTTCATTTTTATTGAAAATGAGATTGAAGGAAGTCACCTTCACTATCTCTTCAGCTTTCACTATTTCTACGGCTTTCACTATCTTGGAGGCTATTACTATTATTATAACTTTCACTATCCTCATTATCTCCTTCTCCGCTATAACTATCACTGAAAAATGAGCTGCTATCCATTTCTTTGTTCTCTTCAGTTTTTAAGGGGATTTTCCTGCTCTTTACCTTGCTATGATTGTGGCTTGGTTCATCATTATTGTTAAAAGTCGCTGTCTCACTTGAAGACTTCTCTCGCTTCAAAGCAATTCCACTAGCACGAAGATTACTATCATCTTCGCTTTCTATGTAATCCTCACCCTGTTCAATAATTTGTGTCAATTTATTTTTCAAGGCATCTATAAGGATTAATAACAGATCTTTGAAAATTGACAAATCTTGGTGTAAAATCGATACTGAAATTAAGGTTTAAATTTCCAAAACAAGTCATGCTCTTTTAGAACCATGTGAAATATAATACTTGTCTTGTATGAGAGGAGCTAGTAAATACACTACAGTCTGAATGAGAGAGATCCCCATAGCATAAATTTAAAAGCAGGATAACTTTTGTTCGATTTCAAATTCAAATTTGAAAGCTATGAAGTGCCATTTTGGTTGATAACACAAGATAGCTGATGAAAAGAATCAGAATAGCAGATAATTTTATTTTTAGGAGCTTTGATCATTCAGAAGAAGTATGATCTTTAGAAATTATTGGACTGATCTCCAAATACATCAATCCTTTTAACTATAATCTTAAAATTCTTCAATATCAAATGGTAAAATTCAAAAGAGCCAAAAGAAATTCAAAAGCTGTGGTCCTACCTAATCTAAACTTCTTATTCTTTCTATTGTTTAGATGAATGGAATTTAACATATTGGTGGTAATCTTGCGCATTCTATAAAATAAGTAATAATTTTTACCTTTCATCTTCAGATTCATCACTCTCACTTTGTCAGACCAGCATTCCTACATTGATAATATAAGAACTTTACTTGATATCATTGATTTCCTCCCTGACATTGGCCTAGCATAAAGTGGAGAGAAATCTTGAATCTCAGGAGGATTGGCATCACTTGAACTCTGTTTATTTTAATCCAGGATGATTCATGATATCTTTCTCCAAATTTCCCCAGACAATATTATTTTGCTTAAATTTGTCTTGTGCTGCATATCATGAAAGTCTTCTGAAGCTGACCTTGCCATCTTTCCCGATAGGATTGCTTGACTGATAATCGAAGTGATACCTCATAATAGTAGCTTCATAGGTATCCTCTTCTCTTTTTCTCACTTTATTCATCTTAAACATTTGCTCAACATAACTGATTGGCAATAAAGCTAATACTCCAGCGAGGAGCAATGGAAGCCAAGCAATGAAATTTTGTGCATCTGATAGTCTGGTTAAGAAGTACCAAATACTTCCCCCATTGACCAGAATGATTAGAACAAAGATATTTGTGGCACTAATATCTATAAAATGGCTAACTTCTCTTGGACGAGTGTTATGATTCACCAACATGTATTTCACCAGACAATATTGGTATCAAAATCCAAAGAAGCAAATTATAGGAAGAATTGGGAGTAACACAGTGTAAGTCGAGCATACCAGAACCATCAAGAATGCTGAAGTATATCTGTTCTCAAGACTTATTTCCTGTCCTTCATAGAGCTCATTAAGCTCCCTCTGTGTTAAGGTAGATTTATCACCCTTTTTAACTTCTCTCTTTCGTTTTCATACCTTCAGCAAGTGGCTTGGGTCGTAAAAGTAGAGTATAGGTCCAATAAAGCATATCGAAATAGTTATGTAGAAGATATCTGAAATTAACCCAGTGCTTGAGAACCAATACTTTTCATTGTGGTTGACTCAAAGAGGAATAATAGCCGTGTTTATATACATTGCCAAGATCATCTTTGCTGCTAAGGATATAGTATAGGGTGTATAAGAGTCATGCCTCTCATATTCAGTTAAAACTTTAGCCAAAGCCTTGAGACTTACGTTAAAGAAACTAATCACCAATGCATTCAGAATGTTATAGAACATTAGAATAAGAGAATGATGAATTTTAAAATTTTCACCATTATCTTCATATTTCCTCTCAAGGCTATCCTTAAAAATCCCAAATACCAAATTTCATCAGAATGAGAAGACAAGCAGTAATCCCATCAATAAGAACGACACCATGGATCTTTTAAGTCTTGATGCTGTAGTAACAGGCAAGTTTTCCCATAAGATATCAGTAGGCTCACCGGCTTTCTTAGTCCTAAATGGAAATGATTTATCTGCCCTCTTTGACCTCCAGAAGGTAATTTTACTCCAAATGTATTTTAAAATTCTTCTTGCAGGGCTAACATGCAACTTGTCATTAATCTTGATGGCTACATTTTGGTTATTAAAGATAATAAAGGCCTTGCCACAGAACTTGTTGTCTTTCTTCTCATTAGCTTTATACATTTTTTCATATTCCTTGATTTCTTTGTTAAGTCTGTCAATAGTAGATTCTCTTTCTTTGAGTGTTTTCTTTCGGCATCTAAAGCAGAGGAATCTTTTAGGTATTTGCATTTTCAACAACTTGAAGGTCAGTTATACGCATGGAGTCACCATCTTTTGACAAATTCTCACTATCTTTGATTTCCTTTCCTTCTTCTATCAATCTTTCTATGTGCATTCTCTTATAATTGGCTTTCAAAGTTTGAATCTTCATTTGTTCAGTTTTTCTTTGTCTAAGCTTCTCTCTTAGTATTTTGACTGGCTTCTCAATATCATAGCACAAGATCACGTTATTAATCCCTTCTGCTTGGTGCTCTCTCTGTAAATACTGAATAATCTCTTCTTTAGTAGTGTTTCTGTTGATATTAGTTGCGAATAAAGTGAATTTACTAGGCGTGATGGTCTCTCCATCTATTCGAGAAGCGAACCTTTGACTCATGCATCTGTAGATGCGGTAGCCCAGGAAGATTATGAACGTACCGACCATGTTTAGGACTATTATAGAGTTGATGGATGAGGATTTTGTGAAGTCAGAAGCTGTGATTCCGTGGTTACCGATGGAAGTATACACCAAGAAAGAAGGAGAGCGCACACCAAGTTCATCTTTGTTGTTCTCGATGATGTTGAGTGTTATTGTGGGTATGGAAACTACCATAGTAATTAATAAAAACAGGATAATGAGAAATACCATAAAGTAGAAATACATAGGGACACCAGTTCCAAAGATCCTGAAGGTCTCAGCAGATGTCCAAAACGAGAATCTCTGTAACTCTTTAACGTCCTTTATTAACTTGTGCTTACAGCAGGGACATTCCTTGCCTTCAGGGATAATTATTGACTCAGTCTTTGTACGTAGTGACGAACTGGTGTCATTTAGTTTAGCTGCTTCTTCAGAAGTGAGATAGACTTTGGAGACCAGGCCGTGGTATTCGGCGATTTCTTTGCTTGGGGGAATTTGGGTGAGGATTTTTTCTTTTTCTTTGAGGAAGTCGGAGGGGAGGTTTTTGTTGGTTGTTCGGTTTATGAAGGCTAAGGTGTGGGTGTCGAAGAGTTGGGGGTTGAGGGTGTCGGAAGAGGTTGAGGAGATACTTGCCTCGTATTTTGATTTCTGGGTGTTTTGGGAAGTACTCATTTTTAGGTTGTTTTATAAGAATTATTGTATGGTGGGGTTTTGGGGTTTTGGGGTTTTGGGG